ATAAAATAAAATAAAACTATGCATTTTGAATAAGATGAATAAGTAATATTGAATAAGTAATAATGAATAAGTAATAATGAATAAAATAAAATAAAATAAGCAATTCTGAATAAAAATAATGTGTCTTTATGATTACAAAATGATTTAAAATGAAGAAAAAATACATCAAAGTTGTTCAAATCAAAGGTTTCCATAATAAATGTTTTCATATCATCATCAAAGGGTTTCATATTAAAATCACAGGTTTTCATTTAATCCTTTCATGAAATCTAAGTTAAAATTTGTGTACGTAAAAGAATCACATATTATAATATATCATATAATTTAAAACAGATTAACAATATTACTTTTTTTCTTTTATGCTTTAAAATGTTACAGAAATTGAAATCAATTTGTTGTTTTAAGTGCTAATAAAGATTTCCTATTTTTTATAAAGATAGGATACTATTAATTCAAAAATAAAAATGAAACCCAAATGTACATTCAATATCTTAATTCTTTTCATTTACAGTTTCAATCTGCTTAGACTTCAATAAACATCATGGATTTCATTTGAAGAAATATTTTAAAGATAAATGGAATTAAAATATCAATATGGAGAAATAAGAATGTATATTGAGTTACGTTTTTATTTGCTGATTCCTTATTAAATTTTTACATTCGATTATTATACAAAATGAAATTTCAATAAAATTTCGAGGGCTAAATTTTTTATTGTTCTACTTGAATTTAAATATGTTAGCGAGAAAAAAAATGAAATAACTAATAAATGAATTGAATTGAAAAGAAAAACGCAGAAAATAATTTTAAAAAGATTTTAATTATTAAATATGTCACTTCAATAATAGAGATAAAATAATAATCAAAAAAGACTATCTATTTCTAAAATCAAAAATAAAAAAAAACCACATCAGTAATTTCAATTAAATTTTCCATATTTTTCATGAGTTTTCAAAGAATTTACTAATTAATCCAAGAAAGTTATTTTAACTGAAGAATATTACAAAATTTTATTGATTTAATATTAAAGACCCTATTTTTACTCCTTAAAAATTTCACTTTTCTTCTTTTTTTTGTACATAAATGAAGATGAGCATTAAAATTCAATTAACGATTCTGCAAGTGATAGCTTTATTTTTAAAAATAACAGAATTTATTTGCAAAAGTTAAAATTTAAAGAAATTAATAAAAATGTCTTAAAAAAAGTATTTCGTGAAAAACTAGTTTAGTTAGTTATAATTTTTTTCATAAATATTAAATTAACATTTAAGTATCAAATCTTTCACAAATCATCTTGAGTAAATATTATCTTTTTTTTACTACAAAATGAAATACATATATTTTTACAGTACATTAAAATATATTTTGATCAAAATTTTCATTATATATATATATATATATATATATATATATATATAATTTCAAGGAGGAATAAAAAAAAGTAATTTATATTGATTTTTTTTCAAAAACTTTTTAATTGAAAAAAAAGTTCATAATGCTTCATTATGTAGTCTTTCTAAATTTTTAAAACAAAATCATACTTAATGATTAAATTTGTAAATGTTGACTTTTGTAAATGAATATGTATGATAAGATTTTCGTTTTACTTATATTGAAGTACCTGTATATTTCTTATACAAAGCACTGAATTTTAAATGATATTTTGCACAGATTAATATCAATCTTACTCAAAATATAATATACTGTAATCCATTAACACAATAGAATAATACATGCTCAAAGAAAAAAATTACTCACCGTAATCTGTGTTTTCTGGTTCCCAGCAATTTGATGGCCAAAAATAAGGGGTCTGCCGTAAAAAACATAAGATCAAAATAATTTATATTTCCTTAATGAATATTACATTAAAAATTTAACCTAAATTTAATCTTGAGAAACATTACAGAAGGGCGTATCAAATTGTAATTAGAAATTTAGTTTAAATTAAATTAAAATGAAATAGCTGGACATCATATATTTACAGCTTTACATTTATGATTAATGAATTAATTTGTACATTGATTGTTCGTGAACATTTCCCGCAAAAAAATTTCCTCGAACTCTAAAAAAAAAAAAAAAAAAGAGTTTCTAATAATTGGTTGTACTTTAATTGGTTTTGGTATAATTGGTTTTGCTTTTTTAAAATTAATAATTAGTTTTGCTGTAAATTAATTATAATTAAAAATACAAGTAAACAAAAAAAAAATTGAAATAAAACGTTCTTCCACTATGATTTGATTTTTTTTTTTATAAACTTTAATTAAGGGAACAAGTTTCAAAATTCATTTCTAGTACATTTATAGTAACAATAAGTAATTTTACCTAAAAAATATGAGCATAAATATTTTTAGAAAAAAAAAAAAATTTAAATATTTTTAGAAAAAAATTGGTACTTACGTTTTGACGGTACCTTGGCGACAGACTCAGCGGTTTTTAAGTGTCGCCAATCTTTATTATTTGGAATAAAAATATTTTGAAAGCGTTTTGATTTTAAATGAAGTGTTTCATATATATTTTAGTATTTGGAACAAAAATTTTAAGTGCAGATTGGCGTCAAATCTGTAGCTGCGGTTGGATCGTGTGCTCTTTATTGGCGCAACTGTCGACAAGGTACCGTTAATACGTAAGTACCAAAAATTCAATAAAATTATTTTAAATTAAAGTATTTGCTTTCTTTTTAAATAAAATTTTTTCGTTTAATTTAATAAAAATTTACCTGAAATCTGTAAAATGTCCCATCAGCCTTTACAGTTAAAATATGATCATCAATGGGAAACAAGTAACCATGTGCAGCCATGAGATGTGCCATGTGCAAAGCTTCCACTGTAAAATAAAAATAGTAAGGATTTAGATAAAATGTTGTGTTCTAATTTCTTTGCTGAATTATCTTGATTTTAATTTGAAAATAATTTAACTCATTTAAGCAGGATTTATTAAGTGCAGAAGGTCACATGTATTTCTTATTCATTTTACAAAACAAAGCCCCAAATGCGTGGTAAAAAATTCAGCGGAATTGAAATTAGTGTAAATAAATGCTTTGATGGAAAAAAAAAAAAAAAATATTTCCGTGGTATAAGTATATTTTATCAATAAATGTTCGATAGAATGGCTTTCGTTTTGTCAATATGTACAAATAAAAAATTATTCGTATAAAAAATGATAGATATTTTTTTTTTTTCATTTGTTAGGATATTTGAGACTACAATTTGCAGTTCAGCACGATATGCAACATTAAAAATAACTTCTTGATTGTTCCTGAAATGATTTTTTTACAAAGATCTCGTGAGATGCTCATGGTCCAAGGACATGTAATCAATCTAAATTTCATATTGCTTATAAGAAGTAAATTTAAATAAGATTGATTGATTTTTAAAGAACGCTTTGCTGAATCCTAGGCAGTTTAACAATTTATTTTGATTTTTGTTAGTAAATTTATCTTTATTGTAAATAAATTATTGTGAGATAAAAGTAAAAGGATAAATGGGGCATTTATTTATTTTTTTCTTTATTGAAGTACGAAATATTAAATAAAAATTTTATGTAGGTGTCTGTAATTTTTTTTATTCATGTGAATATGATGTGAACATGTTATGATGAAAATATTACATTGCTATTTTGAGCGAAGAGAGAGATTATGATTTTTAAATGAAATTGTTAAATAAACTTTTACTTGTTGAAACATATATTATTTTTATTTTTTTTTATTAATGACAATAGTTCATTAAAATAATATTTGCTATTAATAAAAAATTTTTTTTATAATTTTTATGAGATATTGTTGATTTTAGCTTAAATTATCTACTCTTAGATAAGAGCATCTAAATCTATCATAGAAATTTATAATGATGTAAACTTCAACAGATTTATTTATTTTATTCATTACTAATAAATGTTTAAAAAAATACGGATTTAAACATATTGTTAACAATCATAAAGCATTCACACGAAAAGCTATAACCTTGAACTCAAAGTTAATAGATTTTTTTTTTTCAGGTTGGGTTGACTCTTACGTTAGACTTCGTTAGACTTAGCAAGTTCTTTACAAGGACGGGCTAACCCTTATGTTAGACTTCGTTAGACTTAAGTTCTTTTCAAGGACGGGCTGACCCTGTTAGACTTCGTTAGACTTAGCAAGTTCTTTTCAAGGACGGCCGACCCTTATGTTAGACTTAGCAAGTTCTTTTCAAGGACGGGCCGACCCTTATGTTAGACTTCGTTAGACTTAGCAAGTTCTTTTCAAGGACGGGCTGACCCTTATGTTAGACTTATGTTAAGGACGGCTGACCCATATGTTAGACTTCGTTAGCAAGTTCTTTTCAAGGACGGGCTGACCCTTATGTTAGACTTCGTTAGACTTAGCAAGTTCTTTTTTTCAAGGACGGGCTGACCCTTATGTTAGACTTTGGAACCGATAATGGGAGAGATAGAAAGAAAAAAAAAAAGGAGTGTACAGAGAGTCAAATGAAGGTTTCAGGCAGTACGGAGGGTAAAAATAACGAACTGGCTTAAACGAATTGGCTTTTTAAGATGATTTTATAAATATTTGTTATATAATTGTGTAGTGTGTTGCAGTTGTGCAATGCTGTCTTAGCAAATTTTAATAAGTTTGACATCATCATTTAAAGAAACAATTGTGTCAACCATGAAATATAATGAAGGCCACACGCATATCCTGCCCTAACTTTTACTCATATTTTTTATAAGTATTAAATATTTTTTATTAATTTATTTAAAAATACGCTGAATTTACACAATAAAATATTTCAAAATTAAAATACACATAAAATTTTGTAGTAAAATCAGATTATAGTCATAAATCAGTTAACCATTTATTACTCATATATTGTAAAACACCAAAAAGAATTTTAATTCCGGCATTACTTCATAAAAACCAAATAGGATTCAGTTGTTTTTTTATACATTACCTGACAGAAAACTCACACCAAGAACAAATTTTAAACCATAACCATTGTGTTTAGTGGTACAACTTTTAAATCGCCAACGGCCATACCATGCTGAATATACCGGTTCTCGTTAGATCACCGAAGTCAAGCATCATTGGGCGCGGTCAGTCAGTTAGGTGACCACCGGCAACACCGCGTGCTGTTGGCGTTCACAAATTTGGGGCCTGAATGGCCGAGTGTCTGGCGCTCGGTACCACACCGAATCGGCGGTGCCGTGTTTGCAGCGGTTCGAATCCACTTTAAGCCGTAGGTCCCGGTCTCCCATGACTGTAAGCACGGAGTCAAAGTCAGACTTCTACCTACGGGTGCTCCATCAAACAGATTTTCTGTATGTTTCGTGGGCTTGGCCAGACAAGTGGGATAAGAAACAACAACAACAACACTTTTAAATCAATTGATTAAATTTGGTAAAAATAATTCCAAATGATTAAAATGAAATGAATCTTCTTTTATTAAAAGGAGGAAAATATCGTATTTCCCTTATTCGATTTTAAATAGGAATAAAAAGCATAATTAACAAACTTATGATAAATTTTCTGTATGTTTCACTTTTCGTAGATAAAACACTTTTGTTTCTGAAGAATAGGAAAATTGGGCAACAATTGCAAAATTGGGCAAATTGGTTCATATTCAACATTTGGCATTAATCTGAATTCCTGACTTTTCAGATATCTTTATCTTAAGAGAATAAAATACTTAAAGTTATTAATTCTTACCCTTTGTTTAACCTTATCTAACCTTATCTTTTTTGCTAAGAGATATTGTAGAAAAAATAATTTTCTTTCGATGTATATCTTCATAATTTTTTTATTCTGATATTCCAATTCAAATTTGGTTTTGTGTATCAAAAAAAGGGATTTATGTATAATAGCAAATACATTTCAACAAAATTCAATTATGTTTTTTACTTTTTTAAACGAGAATACATATTGAAATTCTTGATTGATTTTAGTTTTCGTTTTCATAAAATACGATAAACATTTTTCTTTCCATTCTTTAAAAGAAATAAAAAAGATTTACATATATTAATATATATTTTCCATTACGATACAAAAGAAAGATACATATCGATTGAAATCCACTTACTCTGATCTTCCATTTTTAAGTGCTTCATCATCCAGGCGATTAGATCTGAACCTGAGGGAAAACCATAATTATTTTCCTTTAAAAAGCTGAACATAAATCATTCAATAAATAAAATATGTTAAATGCCATATATAACTATAAAATGTTATCATATTGAAATATTGATCTCAGAACTTTTCGAATATTAATAAATCGAGAAAATAAGGATAATAAATATTTTTTTTTGTATCGTCATAGCAAAATGTTTTGTATATATTTTGCATTTACAAAGTATCCCACTCAGAATCAAACCGAAATTGTAGTCTTCACACATATATATACATATACATATATATATATATATAGCTCATATATATATATATATATATCATATATATAGGAGCTGAATGCTGAATGATTGGCGCTCTAGCGTTCGATGGCACAACTTTCAAGTTTGGTTTGAGTCCCAGCGGTTCGGTGTAGTGGTCTTGATCCCGAATGTTTGTTTAAGCCGTACTGTCCGGTCTAATATGACTGTGGAGGTTGCTCATAGGGTGACAATCCTACCATGTAAAAAAATGTCAGCGTCACGGAGTCAAGTCAAACTTCCACCTACGGGTGCTACATCACAACCGAAGCTGCCCCCTCTCCTTCCACCATGAGACTACACGAATTGAGGGCTTGGTGTAGATGTCTACCAAGAGGGATAGGAAGCAACTAATATATATATATATATATATATATATAGCATATTGAGGTTTTGAATTAAATTATAAGCATTTTTGAAAAAAAGTAAGAATCAACCATGCATTACCACAACGAACGATAGTTAATAGATCTCTTCAAGGATGGGTTGACTTTTAGTTAGACTTTTGAACTTTGCGCGTTTTTTTTCGCCCGTTAGACTTTGAAACCTATAATGGAGAGGGGAAAAGAGAAAAGGGAGAGTGCCGATTGGAGTGAGAGATTCCAGGAAGTCAGAGGGTATAAGAATCCAGGGAAAAGTTCCAGAGAGTACAAAGGCTACGAAGACCCTAGCACGAACTTACTTTTAAGATGAATTTGTAAATAATCGTTATATATAATTGTGTTTGGTGTGTTATGTGTTGTAATTGTGCAATGCTGTCTTTGTAATTTTAATAAATATGACTGTCACTAGTTTCGAAGCATCATTTAAAGAAACCATACTGCATCAAGACCACACGGCCCTAACTTTTAATAAAACATACAGATTAGTAATAATTAAAAAAATGAATTATAGTAATCGAGATAAAATAAATATTTAACAATGATGACTATTTTTAAAAAGACAAGAAATAAAATTTATTCTTAAAAATAATTATTAAATCTGTTAATAATGTTTGACACAATAACAATTTGACGATATTATGAATTTAAATGATTAATAAGAAATTAAAATCTTATAATTCAAAATTCAAAATTAAATAAAATTCAAAATTATAAAGAGCGTTATTTCACTTGTGCTTTGAAACTGGTACTTCTAAAAAGAACTAAAGCAGTTGAGGAATTTTAATTTGCAGTTAAGAAATTCTTTTCAAATGAATTTAATTAAAAGAGAGAATTCTTGAAAGATCATGATGAGTAATAGTTAAATAAATGAATTATTATAATCGAGATAAAATAATTATCTAACTTTATTAACTATTTTTGAAAAGATAAGAAAAAAAAAAAAATTATTCTTAAAATTAATTATTAATTCAATTAATAATGATCGACACAGCAACAATTTGCTGTTATTACAAATTTTAAATGATTAATAAGAAATTAAAATCTTTTATTTAATTCAAAACTTTAACGAGTGTCTTTTCATTTGTGCCGCCAAAATTGGTACTGCTAAAAAGAACTAAAGCAGTGCAGGAATTTTAATTTGCAGTTAAGAAATTCTTTTCAAAAGAATTTAATCAAAAAGAGAATTCTTGGAAGATCCTTCATGTCTTTTGAAAACATCAACATAACGTTTTCATGTTTTGTACTGTAGGTGTCCAAAGCTGAGTTTTATAAACAAACATTTTTATTTTGGAAGTTAGGATGATTGGAATAAATGCATGCTAAAACTTTCTTAATAAATTAAATTTTTATTAATCTATTATAAATGTTTACGGAGAATAAATCTTATTGCTTAATAATTTCCAAACATTTGTGTTAAAATATATTTTTTATTTTGCCAACGATCAACTATGTTATTTGAATTTATCCTACAATAAAAATCAATTAGTTATGTTTAAAAGAATATAGCGCTTTCTAATATCTTTTTAAACCTCACTCGATTTTTCAAAGTATAAATTTCACCCTTTTTGTTACCTTTTGTTATTATGTTATTAAATTTCAATTATACAAAACAGAATATTTTTGGCTGAGTTTTTTTTTACTAAAATGATTAAATGAACATATAACAATAAAAGAAACATAACAGTTATTATTTATTTGAACATTATAAGAAAATATCACTTGAAAAATATTAATGAAGTGTATTTATTGAACATTATGATTAATGTTAATAATTTTGTTATATAATATAAATAATATTTTAAATAATATATTTATATAAATAATATTTTAAACAAATTACACCAAAGAAAAAAAAATGTTGCAATGTACGTTTTTTAATATTACAGATATTTAAACTGTTATATAGATATATTATTTTTTAACCTCACATCTGTTTATTTAATTTTTTCAATAAAATTTGGATAAAATGCAATCAAAATATTTGCTTTTAGTATTTATGATGCCAGATTTAATTTTAGAACACGTTTTCGAAATTATTAAAATTCGAAAATAAAAAGTAGATTTGAAAAATTCTAATATTATCATTTATTTGTAATTTTAATAAAATAAAAGTGAAATAATTAAATAAAAATTTAGAAGGAAACTAAACAAACTAAAGTATTTAAAAAATAAGACAATTAAAAAATTAAAGGTAATCTATTTTGTAATCATGTTTTGATCCACTCGAAAACATTAACAATAAATGAATACAAAACAGATTTTGAATGATTCAAAATTTGTCTAACTTAAGAATGAATATTTTCTTAAAATTTTCGAAATTTGTTTAATTTATGTTTTTTCTGAAGCGAAACATTTGAGTTATGCTGCTAGCAACAATATAAATGTTTAAATAGAGTACTGGCAAGGAGCAATTTCAACAATAATAAATATCGTAAGCAATATTTATAATCTTAATAAAAGAAATGCTTTATAAATAATCTTAGAATTTGGTTTAAAAATATTTACAATAAATTTATAAGTTTAGGAATTAATTTTCATGAATGTGTTTTTTTCTGGGAAATATGCCACATTTGTTTTTAGAAAAGTGTTCTTAAGTGTTTCTTCTTTCCGATATAGATTGATACCATGATCAAACATGACACTTTACACTTTTGCACTTATAACAAGAGAGGAAATTTTTCATATTGTTATTTCGATTTTTCTCAAAACTAATTAAATTTTTGTTTACAGCTCTTTTTCAGGAATAAGTAAATGACAGAAGCACATGGTTGTTTACATGGAAGGGTAGATGTTTTGAACTTTTATCTATCTACTAAATAAACAAAGATTACAGCAACATATCATGTATTCGATACATAAAACATGACAGGCGTAGAATTATAATCTGTTGCATTAATAGAGATTTTCTTTTAACCGAAATTGATACAGTAGTAATGTAAAATTCTAATAACTATACTCTTTAACATATACTTTAATTACTATTCCATGTATGCATTCATAAATAATGATAAAAATAAAGAGAAAAATAATGATAATGATAAATATATTAGTGAAAACAGAACTACTAACAATGAATACGTTTTTATAAAATTAGAATTGTAAATTAGTTTTCACAAATCTCATAACTTTTTTAATTGATTTAATTTTTCATATTATTTTAATAAAGAACAAATATAAAATTATTATTAATTTTCTATCATTATAAACTTTAAAGTGTTTGAGTGACGTAAAATTGACAACATAAAAGAACAATTATAAAAATGTTAGTAATTTTCCATAATTATAATCCTCAACGAGTTTGAGTGACATAAAATTAGCAACTGTCATGT